CGGATCACACCTCGATCTCCAGCAGCGCTCCCATCCGAGTCCCCTTCCACTTTAAATGGCCGGTGAGTACAAAAATCACAAAACTACTACTAATACTAGTACTAGTACTACTACTATTACTACTACTACTACTACTACTACTAATAATAATAATAATAATAATAATAATAATCATATCACTTGCTATTTCGTTCATTCGAATTTTTCATTTAATGTGTTTTACAGCCCACGTTCGACTTGCACCGCGTGATTGCAGTTGGCCACAGCTAATGGGCCTTGACCAGGCCAAACTCACTCAACACTTTGTTGATGGTCGTATGTCACGGACATGTCAGCTCATTTCTGTGTCAGTCGTCTGAGCAGATCGCCGGATTACTTTAATTAATTGACCAGTCAGAAGTACTGCGATCAAACCTAAAGAAAAGTGATATTACTTGTTGCTGTGGCTCATAGTTCAATAATAACGTGCCGTCATCTTTAGAATATGAATTAATAAACACTTGGTGTGTTTCTCAGGGGACTTTTTCATTGATCATCGAAGCCTGGAACGCAGAATCTCCCACAGAGTACACAGGTAGGCTTTCTTTTTCTTCTTCTTCTTCTTTTTACTCCATGACTTTATTTATGACCAGGACAAAAAACCCAATCGCATCTCTTGCTCTCAGACAACCAGAACAACCTCGTGAGCCGCCTGGCGACCAGGAGGAGGCTGGCTATCGGCGAGGATTGGTCCCAGGACGTGCACTTCGGCGAGCAGAGCGAGCTGCGCTACTCCTACCACGTCTACTGCGACGAGTACTACTTCGGGGAAGGCTGCGCGGACTACTGCAGGCCGCGGGACGACACGCTGGGCCACTACACCTGCGACGAGGAGGGCAACCGCATCTGCCTGGAGGGCTGGAAAGGAAACTACTGCTCTGAGCGTGAGTGGAGATGACTGGTGAAGTTCCCAGGCAAAGGCAGCCAAAAATGAATTGGGGCCCGCATTTCAGTTCATATTACTTTACAGTAATCAGTGATTGTCCTTTCCAATTAATATAGTATTATAAATGTTAGGAATTCAAATTGTTAATCAAAATAATAATTGCAGTGAATTAATAATTAACTTTATAGATGAATAGAGGAAGTAGAACTTTTACACTTGGTGGTCAGTAAACTTTGAAGGACATTTAAATGTCCTTAGCTCACCGAGTGGAAACTGTAAAACTACGTGATTCACATGAGTCAATGGTGCTGTGCTCCTGGGGGGGCCCCTCCTGGCCAGGGGACGCTAAGCAGCAGCTTTATTTGCTCCTGCTGGCTATGATCCCAGTAACGAGATGTTCACTTGTTTTTTAACTTCCATGTGATTTAACCCTTTTGAATCTGACACAAAACGCAGCCAAAGTTCTAAAGTTATGCAAAATACTTAAAAGCTCCGCCCTGTTTTCAAACACTGACTAAAACTCTCAAAATTGAATATTGCGGGTGAAAAAAAATTGTGTATTTTTAGTGCTTAAAGATAAACTCCAGAGTTTTCAGAGCCAATGGGTCTTTTGTGCTGGTACAGTCTGATGATGATGATGATGATGATGATGATGATGATGATGGTGATGGTGATTATGTCCCATCTGCCATTTGTTCTCTTACAATAAGAGAAAGAGTTGTGGCCCCCTTTGGACACGTTTTTCAAGGTGACCTGGGAAACAATGTGTGCGTGCATGCGTGTGTGTGTGGAGGTGTGTGTGTGTGTGTGGAGGTGTGTGTATGTGTGTGTGTGAGAGACAGTGACAGTTTGCGTGTGTGCGTGTGTGTAATGGAAAGGACATAAAAGAAAGCATCTTTCTTCGGCTGTGTGCCTGCCAGCTGCTTGGATTAATACTTAACTAACAGTGAAGTCTGAGACAAGGGTGGGTTCAGACTTGGAGGGGGGATCTGTGTGTGTGTGTGTTTGAGAAGGCGTGCCCATTGTAATCACACCTCCTCCCCTTCCTTTCTTTCTCCAGCCATCTGCTCGGCGGACTGCAGCGAGAAGCACGGCTACTGCGAGGCCCCAGGGGGCTGTACATGCCGCATGGGCTGGCAGGGCCCCTCCTGTAATGAATGCGTGCGTTACCCAGGCTGTCTCCATGGGACATGTAGCCAGCCGTGGCAGTGTAACTGTCAGGAGGGCTGGGGGGGCCTCTTCTGCGACCAGGACCTCAACTACTGCACCAATCACAAGCCATGCACCAACGGGGCCACCTGCACCAACACGGGGCAGGGCAGCTACACCTGTACGTGTCGGCCCGGCTTTGGAGGCACCAACTGTGAGCTGGAAACCAACGAGTGTGACAGCAACCCTGCAAAAACGGAGGCAGCTGCAATGTGAGTGTCCGCAACCGTTGGCCCTACCTGCGTGCTTTGCAGGGATGCGGTGTCTCATTTGGCTTGCGGATCAAGGGGATTAAGATTTCACATAGTGGTCCCCAACATTGTTGCATGAGGGATAGATTACTTTTAGTTAATTCATAAAAGAAATTAGGCACTCTGCCTCTTCAAAATGAGTTATTCTTCTCCACCTTAGGCTGTGGAGTCACAAAGGCTTATTGTCCAGGGGATCTCTGCTAATCTTCTTCTGGTCTGAAGTCAAAGCATGTGCAGAATATTAATATCTGCAATCTGTCTCCAGGACCTGGAGAACGACTACTCCTGCACCTGTCCACAGGGGTTCTACGGAAAGAACTGTGAGATTATTGCCATGACCTGCGCAGACGGTCCCTGCTTTAATGGCGGAACCTGCGTGGAGACGATGACAGGAGGCTACACGTGCCGCTGCCCTCCCAGCTACACCGGCTCCAACTGTGAGAAGAAGTTGGACCGCTGCAGCAACAGGCCTTGTCTGAACGGTGAGTTCTGCCGTTAGAGTCTTCTCTGGCGACATCTTGTGGCTGAAGTGTGAACGAGGACGCTTCTTTTTAGTAAGCATGATCATCTTGTTCACCATCACTCCTGCGTGCTGAGCTGAGTGTTTCACTCTTCTCCAGGTGGCGACTGTCTGGACCTCGGCCAGAGTATCTTGTGCCGCTGTCAGCCAGGTTTCACCGGTGCCAACTGCCAGGTCAACATTGACGACTGCACCTCAAATCCCTGCCAAAATGCTGGAACATGCCAGGATGGTGTGAATGGCTACACTTGCTCCTGTACCTTAGGGTACACTGGCAAGAACTGCAGCATCCGCTCTGATGCCTGCGGGGCTCGCCCGTGCCAAAACGGAGGCACTTGCTTCACCCACTTCACTGGGCCTGTATGCCAGTGTCCAAAAGGCTTCATGGGTCCAAGTTGCGAGTTCACACTTCAGCCCAGTTTCAAGCCCGCTTTGCGCCAAGCCTCCCAGCCCTCCTCCACCACCACCGTCACCATCTCCTGCTTCCTGGCGGTCCTGGTACTGGTTCTGGTCGCAGGCATCCTTTTCCTGAGGCGGAGGAGAAGAAGGATGGAGGGAAGGAAGCACCTGAGCGACATTGCGGTCTACAACGACTTGGAGGCGGTCAACAACCTGGGAGGCAGCGAGAGAGATGCTTTCCTCAGTCCTAACAGCCTCTTCAAGATCAGCAACAGCACAGCTCACCTCAGCCTGACGCTGTGTCCCGACGGCAGACCCGGGTACAGGCACAACCCGGTGGAGAGCAGCCTGGCCAGAGCGGAGCATCAGGACTTCATGTGGAGGGACGACGGCATGCTGGGCTCTGCATCCGGGCTGAGATAAAGCCAGGACAAAAAACACACACGTCGAAACAGGGGCAAAGAGCATTTTAGCACTCGTTGCTTTTCTCCCTTTTTGAAGAGAGGAGCAGAGGCATCAACAGATAGAAATGTCAAGATGAAAAGTTATGTTCCAACACAAGAAATAATGATGATTCTCAAGACTTTTGGAGACTTGTAAAAGATTGTGCTCTTTAGTGTTCAAGACCCAAAGAGACAAATGATGTAACCTGCCACTGATAGGACCTACAATACAAACCAAATGCAGGATGAAGCAATATATTTTCAACACATTTATGTTGTTTTGTTAAAAAAAAAAAAAAAAAAAACTTTTATTTTGCTTTTCAATCTTCCTTTTACCATTTTTTCCTTATTGTGAGCACCATCATTTTTTTCCTCCCCTCCTCTTCTTTATATTATTTATTTATTTGAAAACCTGTGTTTTATGGCTTCACTTTGATTGTCGCAGATGTAGAAATATATTTATACACCGCCGAGTGTAGACTGACGTTTTGTTGCATCTGGATATGTAAAATATCCCAAAGATAAATGTGTGGGGCCAACTGGAGCCATTTCCTCAAAAGACATTACAAGGTCAACCGAATACAGATACTGGTCACGTCGCGCTCATGTGCCATTTTAAGTTCATGCCAAAGTTTGTGTTCTGTTGCGTATTTTCACTCATATTATTTAAGTTCATGTTGTGCGTGTGATGTGGAATAAAAGATTTGATATGAAACGCTTGATTTGCAGCTCCTTGGATTGCACCTCGGGATTATATAATCTGCTTGGCAGGGGGCAAAAGTAACATTTTGTGCAGACAAGAGTGTTTAGAAAAGTGCATTTTAGGGCCTTAGTGTCCACTCTAATTAATAATTCACTTCTCCATAGGCTTTTCATTGAAAAAGTTTACTTTTCAAAACTAAATTTGTGACCAATTTTGAGGGGAAAAAAAGTATTTGTTGTGGTTATTTGGGCCAGGTGGAGCGCGTGCGCCAATCACACAGGCGGAAGTCGGCGGTCTGCACGTCATCTCCCCATGTCTACGATTCAATAAATTAGAACCTAAATAATATTTTAAAAATGCAACACTATGAATTTTTTTAGCTGAAAAAAAGAGGAAAAGGAATAATAATAATAAATAATAATAATAATAATAATAGTTTTGTTTTTCATGAATTCTGTATGGCAGCAGAATCCGCAGAGTTAGCTAGTGGCCCCAAACCGAGATAAAATCAAATACCTCAACAATTACCCCACCTCCCCCACATCAACATCCGGACAGCGGGGACTGTCGCCTCCCAGCGCCTCCCAGCAGAAAGGCGAGCGAGCAGCGAGGCTCACAGCAGCAGCGATGGCCACCGAGGGCAGCGGGACGCCGCTCCGGGAAGACGACGAGCCGGTTCTGTCGGACCCGGAGCTCAGCGGGAACATCCCGAAGAGGCACGCCCGGGTCACGGTGAAGTACAACAGGAAGGAGCTGCAGAGGCGGCTGGACGTGGAGAAGTGGATCGACGAGAGCCTGGACCAGCTGTACAGGGGCCAGGTGGGTCCGCTGCCACTTTATCACCTCGCTGTTTGATCAGAACGTAAAACCCAACGCGCAGTCCCTTAGAATGAGTTTGTTGAGTTGCTGTAAAAGGGCCGGGGAGTCCCCCAGGCTCTAGTGGTCTCTGATGTGTTGAAAGGGGGGAGAGGAGGTCCCATCTCCTTACATGGCCAGACTCTGTGTATAAGGGCTGGGTCCCTCTCATAGATCTGTATCTGACTTGGGGCTTTCTGTCCTTACATGGACATCATGGGACAACAGAGTGAGGGTTTACTGAGGAGGGGAAGGGGATCTGAGGCGAGGAGTGTCCCAGGAAGTCAACTGTGTGTACCAGATGCTGACAGGGGGATGGAGCACATCACCAGATGTGGGTGTTTTTGGATGCAACTCGGTGGGTTTGCGTTGCGAGAGCGGATTTAGTTGATTTTCAGGCAACAGAATTTAGATGGCAGTGATAAAAGCAAAGGACCAAACAGGTTTTTGCACCTGCATTCCTTAACCGTCGCAGCCCGAGCTGTTTTTTCCTGGTGTGCCAGCAGTGCAAAAGTTGTTTCTGTTTGGAACAAGGGTGCGCGAGATTGTCGCTTATCGCAGAAATAATAATAATAAAAAAAGTCTTTTCCACAAAGAACAGACTGGGTGTACCGTAGAGCCGCAGTCCCGCTTGTGCCAAGATCCCGATCAAACGGAGAAGCTCAGTCCAGTGATGTGGATGGCTGGGTCCTCTGCTTGTACAATGGCTGCTTGTTTCAGCAGAACAGGCCTTTGTTACTGTTATGCAAACTTCACTATTCCGCCTCCTGCGTCTACAGATGGTTGCGGTACGAGGACTTTACCCGGTTCTCAGAAAATGGCTCTCAAGCAAGAGAGTTGTGTTCAAAGGTCAAAGTTCCGGCTGCTCTGACAGAAAAATCCATACGACTAATGTATCGATTGGCCAAAGTGTTTCGGACTTTGTGCTTCGTCGGTGTCATCGCTGAGGACACACTGTGAAATTGAATCGGTTGTCTTCATTTAAAAGACATGCGAACTTGTTGCCTCAAAATCTTTTTAGTTTCCATCAAATCTGTCATCATCAGTACCAGCTTCACTCGTGGACGCGTCACCAAGAGACGTAGACTCACCTGATTGAGGCAGAGACTGAAGGGGACAAAAGTTAAAATAAATTGGTGCAGTGCAGTGGATGGGAGGGGAAACCCAGACGAAAGCCCTTATTCATTCCTCAGACCATGAAAGTAATGTCAAAGAATAGAAAACAGTGAAATATGAATTCATTTTCTTTAAGAAAGCATTTTAACCACCAGGTTTTGTGTTGCAGCTGGCAGGAAGAGCAACAGATAGAATTTAATGTTCACATTTTTTTCCGTCTGTGTGTCTTTCGCTTTGACGCGCATCTTTGCCTCCCTGTCCTGCTTGACGACGTCAGGAGGCCGACATGCCGGAGGAGGTGAACATTGACGACTTGCTTGACCTTCGTACCGACGAGGAGCGAATCGTGAAGTTAAAGGTAACGTGACGAGTTTGGTGGCTTTATTTACTCAAAAACAGTTTGTATTGTTTAACATGATTAGGTTTAAGAACACATTCCTGTAACATCATCGTGCCTCAAATCTGAGGATAAATGTGTAATTTTCATTGTAAATTTGTGATGTTATTTGTTTTGTTTTTGTTTTCTTTTGTACAGGAACTCCTCCATGGCTGCAACAACAACACTGAGGTGAGATTCAATAAGAATTTTTTTTTTGTCCAGAAAATTTTTTAATTATATTATTTCTTCCGAAGTCCCTGTTTGGCCTCAAAACCAGCCGATTGAATTAAATTCAATTGATTTTACGTTTACTGTGCTTACAGTAAACGGGGAAAGAATTCTAAATATGTGTGGATTTTATGTACCGTCAGATAAAATGGAACATAGACGATACAGGATCATGTATGTGTACGGTCATGAAACAGCTTATTATATTTCATTTTTCTACATTTTATGCTCACCGGCTGAACGGGGAGCCACAAGAAACTCAAAAGTCTGTGTAATGTGCAAGGCGGCCGAGTGTCGGATTTTATTAATAGCTTGGCCGCTTTTCTCCTGTGTCCGTTCGCACCGTTGCCACAACACAAGGCATGTGTGTCCTTTGTTTCTCAGCAGGCTGTAATCTTCCAATTTAGCCCCCAACGGACGGCAGACCAAGGGACGAGTTTGACTGATTGTCTTATTTAACAGAGAAATGCAGAAAAAAAAAGCAGCCATGTTGACAAAGCCCCGCGTTGGTCCGTCGTATTCGGTCTCTGGACCTTCCTGTGTTCTTGAAAGGATCGGTGTTGTGATTTACGTCAGTCAACGGAAACGATTTGTATTTTTTTCAACCTGCACACGTAAATAGATTTAGCAAAGCTAATATTCTAATATTCTCAGGGATGTTAGCTTCACAAGGCTACAGCAGTGGAGGTGGAGCAATGCTGCTGCCCATCGATGTGGGACGGGTTAAGAGGCAGATAGGACAACTGTTGATAAGGGAAAAGTATTTATCAAAGTTTCCAGTTTCTCCCTCCCAGTACCCATTTTTCTCACTGTGTGAAGTTTAATCGGATCAAACTTCTCTTGTTTTACATCAGCTGGAAGCACTGAAAACATTTCTATTTGCCAAACTTCACAGCAATGAGACTAAGAGAATGAGAATTGTGTCAGAGATTGGAATAGCAGTCCTCGTCTTTGAATCGGGAATGGAGAGCTTAAGGGGGCGTTCGCGCCCGTCTCGTTTACTTTGATCGAACTCTTGGTGTGAATGCGGAATAGAAAATCTGATGCTGACCTAAAAAGCAAACTCTGGTTTGTCTAAAAAAAAAAAAAAACAAACCTAGGTCTTTGTTCGGTTGACTTCCTCTCTGGTCTGCTTCGACGGACTACAACCAAAACCAACCTCAGAGTCCAGCGCATGAGAAATGGCTTATGGTCTTTTACCAAAGACGAAAGAGAAACCCTACCACCACCAGAAAATATAACAAATGTTGCAACTTTGGTCCCTAATCGAACCGAGTGTACCGGGTTTGCTGGAGAACTGAGTGGGCGTGCGATTTGATGTGCCCACCTCCGCTGTCAATCAATCAATCAATCAAATTTTATTTGTATAGCACATTTCAGCAACAAGGCATGTCAAAGCGCTTTACATCATAAACACAAAAAAACACAAAGTCACGAGCGGCGGGTAAAGACTGAAACAATGAGGTCGCAAACCAAGCAGCTGAAATGAGCAGCTGAGCTGGAGCCTCCCTTGGGGGAACGGTGATGTGTTTGTAGACTTTTGGGGACAGTCTCAGAGGAGAGGCAGGAGCAAACACAGCCGTCAGGCGGGGTTTGGACATCTGCTTGGGTCGGGCCTGAATGCCAGGACTTTCTGTTGAAATTACATGTTACAATTGTCCGGGGATCGACCCAGAGTTATGGTACCAGAAGCCTATTCTCTCCCGATCGAATCTGATTGGTTCAGAAGACAGGAAGTCTGACATCAAGTCACCCTGAAGTTCTAGAGCGTAAGATAAGCAGTAGACATCATTACCAAGCCATCCTCCTGCTTTTTTTGTCAGTGTGATTTATGTCTGCTCGCCAGTCGGGTTGGAATATAGACACGGGGACACAAAACACATCCACAGCTCCAGAATGACATAATGCTGAATGTTAACAGCGTCCTGCTTTGTATGGAGAACCAGACGTCCATAATTCGATGTTCTAGAAACAGAATTTTTAATAGAAACAAAACATTTTGAGTGTTAACTGAGTCTGCAGCATTCCTCGTGTCATGTGTGTCTCATACCCTGCAAGAGTCAAATGGATGCAATTTGATTCTTTTGTCGGGATTTGCCAAACTACAGGAAAGATGGCCCCCAAACGTGTGCATGTACAAGGACCCTACATGTATCAGGATGCCAGACATGTGGGGCTCCTTCAGTATTGTTCAGATTAAAAAAGAAATGTACGGATTTATATGAAATGGATTAAATTATAGAGTCATACCATATGGACTGTAATTTTAAACTCCAAGATGAAAAAGAGAAAACCAGATCTAATTTCATTACATTTTCATAGGGCAGTTGTGAAGAACGTCGGGGAGAAATATAAAAATTATTAATATCATTCTCTGACTGCTCTGGTGGGATGGTTGGGGTCACTTTTCTGCTGCCAATGTCTCAATTCTTATATAAAACTTCCCCGCAGAATGACGCTGCCAACGCCATGTTTTACCATACAGATGATGTGTTTTTGCAACGTAGGAGTTTCTGTGTGGTGCAAAGAAGTTCTGTTTTGGTTTGTTCTGGTCCGGTTCCAGCCGTTCTGCTTTTAGATGATGGATTGAAGAAATGTGCAGTGTTTAGTTTTGGATGGTGTTTTATAACTCAGCCCCATCCGGTAATTTTTTTCCCTTCTACAAACCTCTGAGGCAGATTATATTATACACCGGTGAACATTTTATACAAGGCATTCGACATAGAAGGGCACTGGACTTTTTTAAGGTCACTGGAGCAGAAGGTGATGAATAAAATAAAAAGTATTCCAGAATGGTAGCACATTGGACTGTTAGGTTTGCTCTGATGGTAGTGTTTTGGTCACATACATATATTCTTTAGGCTGAAGCATTTTTTGAACAGCTCTTCCCTCTGGCTTGTTTTTTTTCTTTCACTCTTTTACTTCCGAACACCTGTTATAATGTTTAACCATGGCAGCAAGGTTTTGTTTTTACAACCAGGATCAGCTGATGAGCATCCAAAAAAGCTGAAATAGTACCTGAACTACGACCCCCTGCAGATTCTGCTCTGCCTCGCTGCGGCAGAGCAGAAAGAGACGGAGGAAGTTCAAACCACTAATGACACGGCCAGGATTATATCCCCGACTCCAACATCTTTCCACACAGCTTTCTAAGTTGATACTTGGGACGATATGAATTACAACAACATTTAGTTCAGCAGTATTTTCTTAGTACAAATCCATATCACACTCTCAGTTGTTTAGGAAAACCACATACCCTTAACTTCTACTTCATGTTTGTCGGTCACATCAGATCTCAGCAAAATACATTAATGGTGTATAAATACTATAAATCCTGAAGACACTGTCTACCAGTTCCTGAATTTCACTCCTTAAACGTCAAACGTCAACGGGTCGCAAGGCCAAATTTGAACGACGTGCCCGATCGCGAAATTTCAGCGGATCTGTGTGTGAGAACGGCTCTGGGTTCTGTGCTCTTCCTCAGACCTTCATCCGGGAGCTGGTGGCGAAGCTGGTGGGGGTTCACAAGCAGGAGGATCTGCAGAGCGAAGGCATCGAGCATCCCGTCATCTGCCACAGCCTCCACCGCCACGAGCCCTACCACTTCCACAGCCCGCAGCACCATTGCCACCACACGCGAGGCCACAACCAGAGCCTCTGATGAGAACCGGATCCATCGGCGCGTAGACAAACCGACGCACAAGGTTGGCCGCGTTGGACTGAAAGCTTCAGGGATCGACAGAGCATCAAATGTACTGACACACTTCAAATGTAAGGCTCTCCTGCTGAGAGTTAGAGGTAGTGACTCTGTTCACAAATGGCTCTCAGTTAAAGCATGAAGGAATGCAAAGAGAAACCTTCATTCTGCCTGAGTTGGGAGGCAAACAGAATCTAATCTACTACCAGTTAATGTTTCACCTGCTGCAAAGCCAGTCGATCTGGTAGAGTCTGGTAGAGAGGCTCCGGCAGGTTTCCACTTTGGTTCGCGACTTAGTCCACAATTTTAATTTGCAGGGGATTAACGCCAGATGTGTTATCTGTTATCAAAGAGATGCTTATAGTTTCTGTTTGATCCTTCACTTTGAATGTGGTTCTTTTCGGTTCTCTTGAAAGAGTTGTTGATGCGCGCGAAAAGTAATTTTACTTATTGACATAAAAATTTGAGAAGCTTTCTGCAGATTCGGTCAGGCTATCTTTGTTTGATATTAAAACTTGTTTTGGATGATCTGAAATGTTTAACTATGACGAAAAAAACAAAACAAGAAGTCCATTAGGAGACATTTCACTGAACTGTATCCACATGATGTGACGCTGGGAATAAAACCTCTGTGATCACTGAAACGTTGTCGCTTTTCAATGATGCATCTCTGCAGAGAACTGTTAAAAAGTCAACTTAATAAAATAATTTATGCAACTATTTGCTATTTGTTTTGCTTCATGTTTGCAAGGCCGCTGCAGAGCAGTTGAGGTTAGCGCATGTTTCTGGAAGTGGTATTTCATTAAAAAGGGTTTAATTAAAAAGGGTTTTATTTATATCACCACAGCAGACGGTGCATTTCTATATTTTTATTTCACAATGTCTCTCTAGGTGTTGACATAACAAGAGTTTGCTGCCATGCGACAAATAAGATTAGAGACAACGCCACAGTAATCCCTGTAGCTTTCACTCACCACAAAATGCATTTGCTTGATAAAATCATTTCCGAATTTGATTTAATTGAAACCAAATCACTGGTTTCCTTCTGTGTAATTTCTTGAAATGAAACATCACAAAGTTGGGAAGCAAGACCTGGAGAAGCTGACCAAAACAACAGCCCATCCAGAGTACCACACAAAACACAAACACTCGCATGGCTGCATCACGCAGGAACCATAAACAGGGAGGATGTTGGAACACCAGTTTTTATATCAGCACGGACCAAGAGGGTGCAGGCCAGGCCGAGCTCAACAAACGACACCGTCAGTATCGACTGACAGCCAAAGTGTGTTGAAATCAAAAACGGTAAAGAGATTAAGTAGCATCTTCTGCATGTGGCGGAATTATCACACCATGGGTTGTTTTGCGGCCAGTGTTATGCAAGAATTAAATGGCAAAATGAAAAAGAACTGGAAAAGGTGTATTTAAATACACCTTTTAGAAACAGCTAGAAGGTTAAGACCTGAGGACAACTGAATGATCCAACAGGACAATAAAGCTGAACACACATGAAACTGGTTTTGGTTGTATTAGGAAGAAACAACTTTATTTTCTGCATTTGAATTGGCTGAAAGACAGCTGAAGAAGGAGGGAGGTACAAGCTTACATTAATGAACTTCACTACAATGATGTCTGACAGTTAGAGCAAATAAATAAACAGAAAAATAACAATATGAGATGAGTTGCATGCTTAGATTTATCAAAGCCATCAGCCCTAATGAAAGTTAATTGGGAACATTACTTGATCTGTCCAGCAGAGAGCAGTGAAAACTTGATTTTTTTAAAATACTGTAAGTAATCACATCCAGAAGATACTTACTGTGAAGCTACATGTATGTAACTTAAATATTTATATGCATACATATATCCAGTTCACAAAATTTAAAAAAATGATTCGATGTTACAGTAATTATACATATCAACTAATCATTTTGTATTACAAATCTGTCACATTTAGTCGACCACGAAATGCCAAATAGAAATGAGTTGTTACACCTGGAGACTGAATGAGAGCGAGAAGAAACCTCCAGCTTTAGAGTGTCCCAGTTTTGTTGTCTGTTTTCTTAATTAGCTAAAATGTTTCTGTTTTGCATTTAAAACTTTTTAGCTTGCTTTTTTAACAAAGCCAGCCTTTCATCGTGTTGTGTAAAAATGCCCACAGGTCTTCATAGAAAAAAAATGGGGCCCTGTCAATTACAAAAATTATATTAAGGAAAGAGAGTCAATTTGTAATCCAGTTTTTCTCCAAGAGAGGTGGGTGAGATTATCAATTAGCATTGTTAGCTTAGCTACAGACTGCCTCCATTTCACCAGCGTCTAATAAATTAAGGAAAATCACCAAGATATTAATATATTAACTTGTCTCTTATACCTTTTACCATAACAACAGGTGTGTTAGTCAGCAGCAGCTCTTGTCCTTCCTGACTGAAATTATAGCTGCAGAATGTAACTTTTAAATATATATTTTGAGAAATAATGGTTTCTCAACCATTATTTCTCAATGGTTGAGAAATAACATTGACATATATATTTATATATATATATATATATATATATATATATATATATATATATATATATATATATATATATATATATTTAACTTGATTAAATGATATATATTTAACTTGATTAAATTATATATATATATATATATATATATATATATATATATATATATATATATATATATATATATATAATACATACATATATATATATATATATATATATATATATATATATTATATATATATATATATATATATATATATATATATATATATATATATATATATATATATATATATATATATATAGCCTATATATATATATATATATATATATATATATAGAGTCATTTAAAATATTCAAATATTTTAAAATGTCTAATTAACCTGTCATATATATATATATATATATATATATATATATATATATATATATATATATATATATATATATATATATATATATATATATGACAGCCTGTCATATATATATATATATATATATATATATATATTATATATATATATATATATATATATGACAGGTTAATTTTATCAGCACAATTTAGATATAGTTTATATTACTATTTCTTTTTTACTGCCAGCATTATTATTTTTAACTTGATTAAATGATTAGAAAAATAAAATCAATGTTCATCATGAAGGTCAACAGTCTTGCAGAACTGATATCGTTTCCATAGCGATGACCAGAGGCAATACCTTGCCCTTGAAGTCCAGTGAGGTCACTGATGAGGTCATCAATGACAAAGAAATTCTAAAGTAGGAATCTCAGTGCTTCAGTCAGGATTCAGACAGCTTTCAGAGAAGATTTGCGAACAACGATGTCTTGTTTGAACGCACTCGTGCCTTTCTTGATACCACTGGGTTGGGGCGTAGGATACGCCGTTTGCACCGCAATGAATAATTTATTTGATTATCGTCTTCCTGAGGAGGACGAAGGAGGTTGTCAGGACTTGCCTGATTCTAAGGAGTCACAGGACGTTGAGGATTTTGAGGAGGAACAAACCAACCCGGCTGGGGAGGTTTGTTCCAAACCAACGGACATCTTAGGGACTGTAGAATTAGACCCAATCGTGACCCTACCAGAGAGTACCGCAAAAAACGGTACTGTCTCCAGACAAACTGACCCGGCTGGGCAGGATTGTCATGAACCGACGGCTCCGTGTGCTGTTTGTGAGACAGCAGACGGAGCCGACTTTGAGCAAACCGACCCGGCGGGGGAGGTTTGCTCAAAGTTGACAGAAGACCTTGTGTCCCAGAGACGAGCCGCAGAAGCATCTGCCCCGGCTGGGGAAGATGTAACTGCGGCCAACCTTGCAGCCCAGGTTTTTGCTGAATTCACAGCAGAAGCCTTGGCTTCAGTGGTCCCAGCTCTTAGATCATCACCGGGGTCTCTGAAAGGCACCGCTACCAGAGTCATTGAGGTACCAAGTTCCCTGGCTAGGAAACTTCGTACTTCAGAGGCACAAAACAGGTCTTTCAAGGGTAGGGTCATGATTTCTTTCGAAATTAACAGTTTACCGGACGAGGATCATAATTCATAAGAGAGGGTCGGGTTAGACATGCTAGATTGAGGGAAGTGTTGAGGCGCTTACCAAGCTCAAATACACATATGCTTCTACACACATTACACTCTCATACTTTCACACAAAGGCCTTTGTATTTGTAACAGATACAGAAACTGAATCATCTCCTCACTCCCATCTCCAAGCAAATAGAGATTTAGATGACGCAGGACATCGGA